ATACAGTTAAATGTGTTCAATCATACTGTATAAATACCGTAAATCCCTATGTTTTAAATGGAAGATATATGACATGGGAGAAAGTATACTTGAATCGTTACCAACGAGTTGACAATTCTTTTAATTATGGGGGCGGTCGGGTAGCCTAGTGGTTAAAGCGTTCGCTCGTCACGCCGAAGACCCGGGTTCGATTCCCGACATGGGTACAATGTGTGAAGCCCATTTCTGGTGTCCCCCACCGTGATATTGCTGGAATATTGCTAAAAGCGGCGTAAAACCTCATTCACTCACTCACTCACTCTTTTAATTATGCCCCTTTTGTGCTTGGACGGAACCCAGTAGTAGAAATGGCCACGAGAGAAGTCGCTACATTCGTCACCACTCGTCCCTTTCCGTAACCTACAAGAAGACTCGTCCCCCTGGGCCTATCAATGAATGTTATGTGCGAAAATACGACAAACCAATCAGATTGCAAGTATGACTTCAGTTACTTCAGCAAAAGAAAGGAATAGTTTTCGAGTTGACAATTCTTTTAGCGATGCCCTTTTTACACTTCCCTCGACAAGCTGGGGATCGCCAATGTGTTTTGTTCGTTTCCTAAAGCTTCTGTCTGGTCCAGAGTCTCGCATCGACACTTATGTCCGAGTTAATATTTGCCGTCTTATCCAGTTCACATTCATTGTCCACATGCATTTTGAAGAAGTTTTATCAACATGAATTCCACTGTAATTCTCTGAAAATGTTTTATCAATTTGAACTCCATTGTACATTCTCTGAAGATGTTTGATCAATCTAAACTCCATTGTACATTCTCTGAAGATGTTTGATCAATCTAAACTCCATTGTACATTCTCTGAAGATGTTTTATCAATTTGAACTCCAGTTCACATTCTCTGGAGATGTTTTATCAATCTAAACTCCATTGTACATTCTCTGAAGATGTTTTATCAATCTAAACTCCATTGTACATTCTCTGAAGATGTTTTATCAATCTAAACTCCATTGTACATTCTCTGAAGATGTTTTATCAATCTAAACTCCATTGTACATTCTCTGAAGATGTTTATCAATCTAAACTCCATTGTACATGCTCTGGAGATGTTTCATCAATCTAAACTCCATTGTACATTCTCTGAAGATGTTTTATCAATCTAAACTCCATTGTACATGCTCTGAAGATGTTTTTTTTTCAATTTAAACTCCACTGTACATTTTCTAAAGATGATTTATCAATTAAAATCCAATTCTGCATGCTCCTAATAAAAGCACAAATAAAAGAACCAGAACACCAAATGTACAGCATATTACATTTTATATTACATCATTACAAATGTGAATGCCCAGCTATTTGATACATGGATTTATATTTATATTTTTGTTAGTCTATGACTGAATATTGACCAAGGAAGTAAATTCGTAGCTCTCCTCCATTATCCATCTTCCTGAGGCAAGGGAATTAACTGACTGTAGAAGTCCAGTTTCCACTCTTGCCAAACTTGATGGGATTTTGTGCCTACATCATAGCACCGCCAGTGGCTATTACAATTTATGTCCATTCTATATCCCTCCTATTGACTCCACCTATCACAGCACTTGCATTTGCTTCAAACAAAATGGCGGCGCACAGTCAAGACGATCTCATTGATAGTCAAGATCTTTATTCTAATGAAACTGGCATTACCTCTATGCATAGACTCGTTAGTCCAGCCAAAATATAAATTCACAATTCCAGTCTGGTAGGCAAGGGTGGAAAGTGGACTTTTACAGTTAGTTAACTGCCTTGCCTCTGGAAGATTCCATTTCTGGAATCCATGTGGGTTATTACCTTTCCTAAACAAACCTTTGTAGAATTAACACCCAACAGTTATATATTCAATAAATATTTATCCAGTACCTCTGTCAGTACCTGTTCAAGCAATGGATCAATCTTACATATTCAATATGGAATGGTGAAAGAGGGTGGGAATCCTTGGCTGAAATCCTCTAAGGACAAGAATCCTGAAAGGGTAAATTTGAAAAAAAATATTTTAATACAATAAGATCAAACTATTCTTTCCACATACACACTGTAAATGAAGTATGTCAAATGTATACACAAAAGTATGGCACTATACTTTTCACAAGAGGTAGGGAGGTTGATTGGGAAGGCAGCTGAGATGACTCCAAGACAGACATTTGGCCCCATGTCAGTAAATGTCAGTACAAATTCCACAATCGGAAAAATAAAAATCCAAATTCGTGTAAATACATGGATGCAATGTTGTGATACCCCTGAAACCCGTATTTTATTTGTTGTTGTTTTTGTTTGTTGTTTAACGCCGCACTCAGCAATATTCGAGCTATATGATGGCAGTCTATGTAAATAATCGAGTCTGGACCAGACAATCCAGTGATTGATATCATGAACATCGGCTCTTTGCATACTAATTCCCCCAAGAAAACCAGCACGCCATTTGGAAGGTTTTGTTCATCCGAACAGAACCATAAAAGTTATCTGACATAACCACATCAGATATATTTCAAGGTTATCTGATATAAGCCACAGTGTAAGTTTTAAAAAGGAAGGTTATTAAACACTGATATATAAACATAACACATTCTCCACTAATCATATTGGCTAATTTTACTCATAGAAAGTTGTTTAAATTCTTACAAAGGAGATCAATAAACAGAAAACACCAACATGAAATGTCCACCAACAATGGTTATTCTCAGGAAATCTGAAATTGTCTGACACAACAAACATTGAGCAAATTTGATGAAAGAATGAGTGAACGTTGGTTTGGGCGATATCCCAACAGTATGATATGGGCCTGAGACATTAGTTAATGAGGAATTAGGTGAAATGGGGTTTAACGTAGCGATTATTGCACGTATAAAGCAATGTGAGTGTGTGTGTGTGTTTTGTGTGTGTGTGTGGCTATGGCTGTGTGTGTGTCATTCCCTGGTCTGTCTGTGGTCGAATGCCAACAGGTGGGGTGTGGTGAAATGGGGTTCAACCTTGCGTCCAAGATCATTGCACTTATATAGCGACGTGCACGCACGTGTGTGTGGCTGCTTGTACTAGTCCTGAATGATGCCGATTTATAGTGCTAGCCCACAGAGATACTATGCCACAGTTTACATGAATACCCCACTCAGACACAGTGTACTGACTCTGAGCTGAACAGTCTTTGTTTTTATCAATCTGGTCTGGTTATTACAGCCCGTGATCTGACTGTCTCCCTGTTGGCTCTATCGTCCAGGCAAAATGCCTTATTTAATGGTTGTCAATGTACTGACACTAGTTTCATCAGTTTTCACATTATTTGTCTTCACCATGAAATGAAATGTGGGAGGAAAGCCCGAAGTGATGCAGGTCTCAGACGTTTACCACTTTGGTGAAACCCACAAGCACGGGTATGGTGCTGACAAACCTTGAAACATAATTGGGGTGAACCGGGATTCGAACCCACAATCATAGGTTTCTGGCGTGCCCAAGGGACGCAACTCTGCACAGCGAATTGCGGCACCTTAGACGACTGGGCCACCCGTGCCCCCTACCATGAAATGTGAAACTTTAAACCTTAGGTAATTATCAATCATTAATCTTCAGTTTCTAAAGGCCCCTTTACACAGGGCTGCGACCTTTGTGCCATGGTGTCTCGAGTGTTGGTCACCCAAAGGAGGCACAAGGGAGGCAGAAGCATCGCCCAGAATGACGGGAAAATGTGCAGGAAAATGTGCAGCAGAACGCATCTATTACCTGGCAACCATTGGGTGACCACAGTGCCTTCATTCTGCAACAACGGAAATGCATGCAAGTCCAGTTTCCACCCCTGACAAATTAGGCTGGCTTTTCTGGGCTCGATCGCAGCGCCACAAGTGACTATTTGGAGTTATGTCCCTTCTAAGTATCCCTACTGCCTAATCAGATTCCACCTCTCATATCACTTGCATTTGCTTCAAATAAAATGGTGGCGCCCAGTCAAGATGATCTCATCAATAATAAAGATGTTTATTGCAATAAAACAGGTTTTACCTTGCAAAGGACATATCACTTGAGCAACTCGATTAAAAAAAAACAGATTTGAAAGATATGTGTCCACGCCCAGTTGAGGGCATACATGCTCTGCAAATCCTTCGATCGAACAAATTCGGCACGGCAGTTGGCATGTTGTTTATGAGCTGGATCTCGATATCATTACATGAATTTGATTGGACTATGCATAGATCAGCCAAAATGTAACTCCATAATTCCAGCCGAGTTCGGCAAGAATGAAGGCACAGTGGTCACCCAATGGTTGCCAGGTAATAGATGCGTTCTGCTGTGTCATTTATTTCTTATATGAGATATCAACGTTATGTACAGTCTATTGAGGATGTTGAAAAATGTACAAGTTTCAATATAAAGTATTTACCCATATTTTAATAACGATGACCCCCTGAATAGAATCCGACCTCGACAAGTCCATTTTACTAACAAGCGGGTTAAGTTTGGTATTTCCCACATATTCTCACAATCCTCACAGTGATTATCTGTACCTTTTCTTCTAATACCGATTGTCATATCTCTCCCACTTTTGTATGCGACGAATCAGCCACTGCATTTGTCTGAGTAGCCCAACCCCCATGGGGAACAACTTACTTGACACTTCCCTCTCAAATTGAACGTCATCCAAGATATGACATCATCAAGTTGCAAATGCATATTCAAATCTCCAGAAATGACATCATGATAGAACAATGTTTTATTGTGAAATATACCACGCTTTGCTCTTCATCGTCCTTCGCAATTTATTGTGTAGTTGTTAGGGGTGTCACGATAAATCCAAATATCGATATATTGCTATTGGTGAGCACTTAAAGTCAATAAATCGATTGTTAAATCAGTTTCCGATCAATAGTATCAATTTCAGTTAGGAATATCAATAGTTTCGATTGTATTTACCATATCAATAAACTACATGCAATGCTGTTCAAATTTGTTTTTCTCTTGATCACATAATTTCTCAAACTTTACTTTTTATTTGTTATGGTTATCACATTCAAAGGAAACTTCAGTTCCAAGGTTTAATTCAACTCTAAAATGCATCTAAAATGATACACTGAAAACTGTTGATATTTATCACAATAGGTGCTTGCAATAACAATAGTTATCGCAGTAGCAGTCACCCCTAGTAGCTATCTTATATATGAAGATAACTGATGTGTGAAGATATGTGAAAACTGATGTGAAAACTGATGTGAAGATATGTGAAAACTGATGTGAAACTGATGTGAAGATATGTGAAAACTGATGTGAAGATATGTGAAAACTGATGTGAAAACAGATGTGAAGATATGTGAAAACTGATGTGAAGATATGTGAAAACTGATGTGAAGACAGATGTGAAGATATGTGAAAACTGATATGTGAAGATATGTGAAAACTGATGTGAAGATAAGTGAAAACTGATGTGAAAACAGATGTGAAGATATGTGAAAACTGATGTGAAGATAAGTGAAAACTGATGTGAAAACAGATGTGAAGATATGTGAAAACTGATGTTAAGATATGTGAAAACTGATGTGAAGACAGATGTGAAGATATGTGAAAACTGATATGTGAAGATATGTGAAAACTGATGTGAAAACTGATGTGAAGATATGTGAAAACTGATATGTGAAGATATGTGAAAACTGATGTGAAAACAGATGTGAAGATATGTGAAAACTGATGTGTGAAGATATGTGAAAACTGATGTGAAAACAGATGTGAAGATATGTGAAAACTGATGTGAAAACTGATGTGAAGATATGTGAAAACTGATATGTGAAGATATGTGAAAAAATCAGATTTGTTGGTATATGAATACATGTGATATGTGCAGTTAACAGATATATGAAGATAACTGACTTGTGAAAATAGTAACAGTTAGTCTTGAATCATTAGTATTTTCCAATCGTCTGCAATCTTGAACCAATATGATTAAACAAACAAAAAGGTAAAATCATATTGGAAATCTGGTCTGTCGTAAACCTTTTGAAAATTCCCTATGGTGGCATTACCAAAGATAATATGAATGTGATTACAGTTGGGGTTAGAGGGCAAATTTCAAGATACTTGTAATGGCGGCTTCCACACTGACGGCAGCGATGTTACCGAGAGTGTAACGAAGATGTTACACGCTGGGAAAGAGCTTGACTGTCTATTCACAAAGGGACAAAACTCTCGCCTCTTCTTGCATACCACTAGTACTATAGTAACCTCATACCAGATACATGAAGCTACAAGATCCCTACAAGATTGCTACAAGATCACCTTCACAAGCAATGAGCACTGATAACTCGATGCTACAGGTCAGTTTGACTTGCAGGCATCAACAGATGGTGACTGTTTCCGTCTCTGGGCGACCAGCAGGATGTTGGAGCCGACCATGATGATGCCAGCCAATACAGTCATCCCCCCACCAAGGTAGAACGCTTCGGAGTAGTCACCGAACACATCTTTCATCATTCCTGGAAGAACACAGACATAAATTAACACATAAACATGCATTCTTTGTTTGTTGTTTAACGCCACACTCAGCAATATTTCAGCTATATGACAGCGCTCTGTAAATATTCGAGTCTGAACCAGACACTCCAGTGATTGACATCATGAGCATCGATCCACTCAATTGGGATACAATGACATGTATCAACCAAGTCAGCGAGCCTGACCACCCAATCCAGTAAGTCACCTCTTACGACAAGACCTGAGGTTCCTGAAGACATATTCTCATGTCTAATTGTATCGTTAAATACATACAGTTGGTTGTAGGAGAGTGTTGTTTTAGCACCACATTAAACACTACTGTGGTTATCTATCAGCTAAATGTGTGTGTGTTGGGGGTAGTTAATCCAAGAAATGTTGGTGAATGGGCAAGTGGGTATTGTTCTATGCTGCCTTTACAAATATTCCAGCAATATCACAGCGGGGGACACCAGAAATGGGCTTCATACACTGTACCGATGTGGGGAATGGAACCCAAGTCTTTGGCGTGATGAGCGAATGCTTAAACCACTTGGCTACCCCTCTGCCCCTTGGTGAGGGGGACCAGGGTGTGCATCACAGGAGAATAGAGATATGATACTCTGGATAGGCGAGGATGTTGAGATATCTGCTGAGATTCATCTACATCTGGACAGATGCTGAAGTCTGAATAAAATGTCAGTCAAAATCCCAAATTGGACAAAAAATTAACAAGAGTCATCCGAAGATGACAAATCCCCCTGGCCACCACAAATTCGAACGAACCAATCATCCTGACTGTTACTGTAAGTCCAACTTGATGAGAGAATATCTATCCAATCTGTCTGTCCGTATACAAAAGTAGTTTTTGAGCTATCAAAACAACACCATGGAGTTGGGATTCAGAACTTTGTATTTTGAGGTACACACCAATTTATGTCAAAGTCAAATTTGTTGCCATGCACAGTGTCATGAAGGAATACCTATCAGTTTTAGAGATAATGTCCGGGCAAACACACCACTATGAAAGAGTAAAGGTCAAACTTGTTGCCATGGAAACAGGAAAATTAATTCCAAAATAACAAAAGGCACCACTTTAGCTCTTGACTAACCCATGTACAAAGTTTGGATGAAAAATAATGAGGTGTTTTCTAGTTCTGCTCTGGAAACGACACCTACCTCCTTTTCAGCTAAATTGTTTCCATAGAAACAGGGAAAAATTCCTAAATACCAAAAGGCACCACTTCAGCCCTTAGTTAGCACATGTGCCAGGTATAGATAAATAATCTTTCACAGTTTTCAAGTTGTGCTCCAGAAACAACACCTACACCCACTTTTGACATGTTTGAGACTAAGTCCAAATTGTTTCCATGGAAATATAGGTGTTCCACCTATGGAGTATAGAAAAACAAAATGTGTTACTTACCTGATAAAGGAGGCCCAATGAGAGCTCCGATTCCCTGAAAACACAGTAATATTCCAAAGGAACTGGACAGCTTTTCTATCCCAAGAATGTCCACAACAACCACCCCTTTCTGCGACACATAGGCGCCGGTCATGGCGCCATACACTCCACTTATTATACAAAACTGCCAGAAAGCGTGAAGGGCTGGGCACACAAACGAAGCCAAAGCTATCACAAACAGCACCCCACTGTATGCATATGGTCTGAATCGTCTCACTTGCTTCAACTCGAGAATAAATCCCACTAATATTCGCCCAATGGTATCGAGCACACCGGCAATGGACAACAACAATGCAGCTTCGATGTCAGTACAGCCCCTGGACTTTGCCAAGGCAGGCAGAAATGTAAACACTGATTTAAAGGACATCGTAAACAAAACAATACTAAGACAAAAAAACAGAAAAGGTAGATTTTTTAGAAGAGACAGATCAAGCACATTTGACTTTTCTTGGTTTTTTTTAGGTTTCTCAATTTTCTTTGGAAGACATTTTTGTGTTCTGTGCCAGCAAGTTGTTTCATCGTAGTTTCCAGTAGGCTTGAGTGTGATACTACCATCAGTGAATATCTCTTTATCGTTTTTTTCAGATTCAGACATTTGTCTTGTATCTTGTGTTGTCATGGCAACATCTCCTTCATGTTGAACAAGAAGCTTTGCATCTTCCTCTTTTGCTCTTCCATATTCATCACATCTTACATCATCATCATCATCATCATCATCATATCCACTAGGCTTCAGACTGGTGTTTCTGTAACCAAGAAAACGGTCATTTAGACATCCTCATCCATTCGGGGTCTTGGGAGGCCGACTCATTTAAGCCACTGTCATTCGCTGTGTAGAACTGCATTCTTTGCTTGAAGCCTATCATTGGGGGTTCGAATCCCGTGATACCCGTAAGCTATGAAGACCCAGGGTAGAATAGGTCTTCAGCAGCCCATAATGCCCTAAACAGGTTCTACTACACCAAATCAGTACCAGTTTGGACAGTGTGGTTTTCGTAGGGAGCCTTCAGTGCAGATCGAGAGATATCTGCAGGCTGTGATTGGAGGATATTCTGTAAGATTTTTATGTCTTTCAAATGTACATCCATCCAGTTATTAAAACTGACCATATTTTTCTATATTTAGTACTGTCTCTTTCAACATGATGACTTATGCTGAATGTGACCACAGCTATTTTCAAGTAGGTGACATTTGGTGCGAAACTGGGGATGGTGTGTTTAGCTTCCGGTACTCGGAAAAGGAGCTGGCTAAGCTAGTCATTTTTAATTTTTTTATTGCTGCTCTAAGGCCAAACTGTGCACACACGTACAGGTAATAGCTGTTGAATGCTTAGTTATTTTTAAAAAAAATATAACGTTACTATCGAAGTCTATGGGAAAACATTTGGTTGTGTGTAACCTAAAAGGTGACTATGCTTGTCTTAAGAGGCGACTAACGGGATTGGGTGGTCAGACTCGCTGACTTGGTTGATGCATGTCATCGATCCCAATTGTGTGGATCGATGCTCATGATGTCAAACACTGGATTGTCTGGTTTATCAGTCTCGATTATTTACAGACCGTCGTCATTTAGCTGGAGGGCGGCGTTAAACAACAAACCAACACTACACCCGTAAATGTCTGGACCTGCATCACTTTGGGCTTACCTCCCCTTTCTTGGCTTGACCCTCGCGCAACCTGACGTAGAGTTGTGCCCCTTGTAATGAAAACGCGATATTTAATCATATCGCTGTTCTTATCTCGTATGGCTTCACAAAGATGGCGACTACAATAGGTGACGACCTAGTCGATGAGATAACGAAAACATTCGCGATTTCATCCTTGACACAAAAACATAGGCAATCATTGGGGGGTTTAAAAGATGAAAAAGACATGTCAACAAAAACAGGCAGTGGTAAATCACTTTCAGTTGTGGATGTTGATTTTGTGAAACATTCTCTGATTAGACAATCGATATGAGCGATAGTCCAATCATATTTATCAAGAATTGCACACAAAGTGCCCTTGGCAGATAAATAGGGACTTTTTTAAAATTATGTTGTTAAAACTTGGGAATTTATTTTTAAGTTCTTATTTTCTTACATCCAGAGCTAATTTGACATTGCATTCCATTTAATAACTTAATATTCAGCCCCTTCCTCTGTGTCGGTCCTGTTATCAGTGATATACAAGTGATCTCTACCGAGCCATTACATTACCTGTGCCTGTATTAGTGTGTTAGTGTTAGTGTTAGTGTGTTAGTGTGTGTGTGTGTGTGTGTGTGTATCTGTTTGTGTATATGTCTGTCTGTCTGAGTGTGTCTGTGCCAGTGTTAGTGAGTGGTGTCTGTTTGTGTGTGTCCGTCTGTCTGAGTGTGTGTCTGTGTGTTTGTGCAAGTGTGTGTATGTATGTGCAGTGTCTGTTTGTGTCTGTCTGAGTGTGTCTGTCTGTGTGTGTGTCTGTCTGTTTGTGTCAGTGTGTGTGTGTGTTGTGTCTTTTAGTGTATGTCTGTCTGAGTGTGTCTGTGTGTCAGTGTGTGTGTGGTGTCAGTTTGTGTGTATCTGTGTCTGTCTGAGAGTGTCTGTGGCCAGTGTGTGTGTGCCCGCGCAGTGTCTGAGTGTGTCTGTGTCAGTGTGTCTGAGTGTGTCAGTGTATGTGTATGTGTGGTGTCTGTTTGTAGGTGTCTGTCTGTCTGTGTCTGTGCCTGTGTAAGTGAGTGGTGTCTGTTTGTGTGTATGTGTCTGTCTGAGAGTGTCTGTGCAAGTGTGTGTAGGTATGTATGTGTCGTGTCAGTTTGTGTGTGTCTGTGTGGTTGTGTGCTTGTGCATATCTGTGTGTGTTTTTGTGTCAGTGTGTATGTGTCTGTCTGTGTCTGTGTTTGTCTGTGTGTGTGTATCTGTGTATCTGTGTTTGTGAGTGTATGTTTGTGAGTGTATGTGTGTGAGTGTATGTGTGTGTATCTGTGTCTGTATGTGTGTGTCAGTGAGACAGTCCTAGCCCCACCTCCCCCCCCCCCCCCCCACACACACACCCAATAACATATGACAAGTCCCTAAATAAAGAACAAAGTTTCCAGTCACAACATACTCAATACATCTATATACCAACTAAACATCACACCAACCTTTCCAATCCTAGGATTTCCTTATGCAGAGCAAGTGGGCGATACAGAGCCCCGCAAATGCAGAAGTTGAAAGCTATTCCGCTCAGGATGAGAAAAGCGCCAAAGAAATGGAATTCTTCAAACAGAAAGTCAGCCAAGGGTGGAAGGAAGAATGTCCCAATTCCTGCCCCTGATGTTGCTATGCCAACAGCCATTCCTGGCTTCCTGGCAAAATACTGCCCTACCGTCACTATGCCAGGGCCATAGGTTAGACTCCTTCCGATTCCTAGTAGCAGAGACAGAAATAAGTGGTAGAAAATCATCCCCTGTTTTCAGATTTTGAGGCACTAATGAATTTTCAATGTCTTAGTATTAGTTTTTTTTAGTATGTTTATTTTTGTTTAAATTGAATATTCAACAGCACGGCAAAAATGCACTGAATCTCACTAGCACTTTTCTCAAATATTTTCCATTTGGTTTGAAAGGAATAAATGGGGTGAGTGAGTGAGTATGGTTTTACACCGCTTTTAGAAATATTCCAGCAATATCGCGGCGGGGGACACCAGAAAAGGGCTTCACACATTGTACATTCCCATGTCGGGAATCAAACCTGGGCCTTCAGCGTGATGAGCGAACGCTTTAACCACTAGGCCAACTTACCGCCCTGAAAAGAATAAAATCAAACCACAAACTGCAAATCATAAATAACAGATATTCATTAAGACAACATAGCAGGACTTTTTAAAAATGCCAGGCCATAACTGGATAAAAAATCAGAATATACCAAAATACATTACACGTTATTCTGCATATGATGATATTTCATGAGTTTATTAAAGGTCTTCATAAACAATATGCAAAAATGAGATTTTCAATATGGCTGGCATGGAGGCCATGTTTATGATTGGATCAATTAGGATAAATTGGTGAAAGTGAAGGCCACCGCTGGGTGAAACATAGCCATTATTGTTGGCCAAGCTCAAAATCAGATCAGATTTCTGTAAGCACCTACATATCATATCATATTTCATAACGAGACATGTAGAAATAGCTGAGTTATGGGAACATATAGCCTTTTCAATATGGCCGCCGTGGCGTCCATGTTTAAAGATTGAATTGGAATTCTGTTGAAAGAGATTTTACAGCTGCAATCATTTGTAGAAAGTTTCAGTTCCATGTTGAAAAAAACATACAGACGAGCCACCAAAAAAATCAGGTGAGCTAAAAAATGGACAGTATGGCATCTTACACAGTTGGTTGCACAAATGAATAATGGGTAAGTGTGACATTTTCTATGGGATTGCCATGACAGGCATGTTTAAAGATATTATAAACCAGTCAGCATTCTTTGGTTTTAGGTGAGCTAAATACCTAATCTTCAGTTTGCTGAAGTTCTGAACTGGACTCACCTCCAATGATTCCATAGCTGATGTAGAGGAAGATGAGGTTTGGCGCAAAGCCACTGATGAGAACACCGACTGTCATGATGATCCCACCAGTCATGGTGGCCACACGACTGGAGAACCGATTGCTGACGGCACTTGACAGGGGGCCTGGAAAAGTGGATATCATTATGTCACTGAAGGCACTTGAAAGGGCCTTGAAAAGTGGATATGTCACTGAAGGGACTTGACAGGGCCTGGAAAAGTGGATATGTTACTGAAGGCACTTGACAGGGCCTGAAAAAGTGGATATGTTACTGTAGCAGGACGTGGAGTCATCCCACAGATGACATCCTTACCTTGTCAGCTTGCTGACGGGGTTAACCTCTTTGGTCATGTGGACAAGGCGTCCGACCTCGGATCAGAAGGTCCGTGGTTCGAATCCCATCACGGGACTCGGAAATTTTATGGCCGCTACATTGGCGCCCAACGTGGGGCTGAGCACGTTCATATTAAATTTGAGCAAAATAAGCCTCAGTACCCTACTATGCGGCCCGGGAGGTGCCTTCTGTTGACGGGGAAGTATGTAGCAGGACGTGGAGTCATCCCACAGATGACATCCTTACCTTGTCAGCTTGCTGACGGGGTTAACCTCTTTGGTCATGTGGACAAGGCGTCCGACCTCGGATCAGAAGGTCCGTGGTTCGAATCCCATCACGGGACTCGGAAATTTTATGGCCACTACATTACTGAAGGGACTTGACGGAGGGCCTGGAAAAGTGGATATGTCACTGAAGGCACTTGACTGGGCCTGGAAAAGTGGATATGTTACTGAAGGGACTTGACAGAGGGCCTGGAAAAGTGGATATGTCACTGAAGGCACTTGACAGGGCCTGGAAAAGTGGATATGTTACTGAAGGCACTTGACAGGGCCTGGAAAAGTGGATATGTTACTGAAGGGACTTGACAGAGGGCCTGGAAAAGTGGATATGTCATTGAAGGGACTTGACAGGGCCTGGAAAAGTGGATATGTTACTGTAGCAGGACGTGGAGTCATCCCACAGATGACATCCTTACCTTGTCAGCTTGCTGACGGGGTTAACCTCTTTGGTCATGTGGACAAGGCGTCCGACCTCGGATCAGAAGGTCCGTGGTTCGAATCCCATCACGGGACTCGGAAATTTTATGGCCGCTACATTGGCGCCCAACGTGGGGCTGAGCACGTTCATATTAAATTTGAGCAAAATAAGCCTCAGTACCCTACTATGCGGCCCGGGAGGTGCCTTCTGTTGACGGGGAAGTATGTAGCAGGACGTGGAGTCATCCCACAGATGACATCCTTACCTTGTCAGCTTGCTGACGGGGTTAACCTCTTTGGTCATGTGGACAAGGCGTCCGACCTCGGATCAGAAGGTCCGTGGTTCAAATCCCATCACGTGACTCGGAAATTTTATGGCCGCTACATTACTGAAGGGACTTGACGGAGGGCCTGGAAAAGTGGATATGTCACTGAAGGCACTTGACAGGGCCTGGAAAAGTGGATATGTTACTGAAGGGACTTGACAGAGGGCCTGGAAAAGTGGATATGTCACTGAAGGCACTTGACAGGGCCTGGAAAAGTGGATATGTTACTGAAGGCACTTGACAGGGCCTGGAAAAGTGGATATGTTACTGAAGGGACTTGACAGAGGGCCTGGAAAAGTGGATATGTCATTGAAGGGACTTGACAGGGCCTGGAAAAGTGGATATGTTATTGAAGGGACTTGACAGATGGCCTGGAAAAGTGGATATGTCACTTAAGGAATTCAACAGGTGGCCTGAAAAAGTGGATATGTCACTGAAGGGACTTGACAGAGGGCCTGGAAAAGCGGATATGTCACTGAAGGGACTTGACAGGGGGCCTGATAAAGTGGATATGTCACTGAAGGCACTTGACAGAGGGCCTGGAAAAGTGGATATGTCACTGAAGGGACTTGACAAAAGGCCTGGAAGAGTGGATATGTCACTGAAGGGACTTGACAGAGGGCCTGGAAGAGTGGATATGTCACTGAAGGGACTTGACAGAAGGCCTGGAAAAGTGGATATGTCACTGAAGGGACTTGACAGAGGGCCTGGAAAAGTGGATATGTCACTGAAGGGACTTGACAGAGGGCCTGGAAAAGTGGATATGTCACTGAAGGCACTTGACAGAGGGCCTGGAAAAGTGGATATGTCACTGAAGGGACTTGACAGGGCCTGGAAAAGTGGATATGTTACTGAAGGGACTTGACAGAGGGCCTGGAAAAGTGGATATGTCATTGAAGGGACTTGACAGGGCCTGGAAAAGTGGATATGTTACTGTAGCAGGACGTGGAGTCATCCCACAGATGACATCCTTACCTTGTCAGCTTGCTGACGGGGTTAACCTCTTTGGTCATGTGGACAAGGCGTCCGACCTCGGATCAGAAGGTCCGTGGTTCGAATCCCATCACGGGACTCGGAAATTTTATGGCCGCTACATTGGCGCCCAACGTGGGGCTGAGCACGTTCATATTAAATTTGAGCAAAATAAGCCTCAGTACCCTACTATGCGGCCCGGGAGGTGCCTTCTGTTGACGGGGAAGTATGTAGCAGGACGTGGAGTCATCCCACAGATGACATCCTTACCTTGTCAGCTTGCTGACGGGGTTAACCTCTTTGGTCATGTGGACAAGGCGTCCGACCTCGGATCAGAAGGTCCGTGGTTCAAATCCCATCACGTGACTCGGAAATTTTATGGCCGCTACATTACTGAAGGGACTTGACGGAGGGCCTGGAAAAGTGGATATGTCACTGAAGGCACTTGACAGGGCCTGGAAAAGTGGATATGTTACTGAAGGGACTTGACAGAGGGCCTGGAAAAGTGGATATGTCACTGAAGGCACTTGACAGGGCCTGGAAAAGTGGATATGTTACTGAAGGCACTTGACAGGGCCTGGAAAAGTGGATATGTTACTGAAGGGACTTGACAGAGGGCCTGGAAAAGTGGATATGTCATTGAAGGGACTTGACAGGGCCTGGAAAAGTGGATATGTTATTGAAGGGACTTGACAGATGGCCTGGAAAAGTGGATATGTCACTTAAGGAATTCAACAGGTGGCCTGAAAAAGTGGATATGTCACTGAAGGGACTTGACAGAGGGCCTGGAAAAGCGGATATGTCACTGAAGGGACTTGACAGGGGGCCTGATAAAGTGGATATGTCACTGAAGGCACTTGACAGAGGGCCTGGAAAAGTGGATATGTCACTGAAGGGACTTGACAAAAGGCCTGGAAGAGTGGATATGTCACTGAAGGGACTTGACAGAGGGCCTGGAAGAGTGGATATGTCACTGAAGGGACTTGACAGAAGGCCTGGAAAAGTGGATATGTCACTGAAGGGACTTGACAGAGGGCCTGGAAAAGTGGATATGTCACTGAAGGGACTTGACAGAGGGCCTGGAAAAGTGGATATGTCACTGAAGGCACTTGACAGAGGGCCTGGAAAAGTGGATATGTCACTGAAGGGACTTGACAGGGCCTGGAAAAGTGGATATGTCACTGAAGGGACTTGACAGAGGGCCTGGAAAAGTGGATATCTCACTAAAGGCACTTGACAGGGCCTGGAAAAGTGGATATGCCACTGAAGGCACTTGACAGGGCCTGGAAAAGTGGATATGTTACTAAAGACACCTGACTTTCACAACTTACTGAGGACTAGCCTTAGGGTGGTAGCTAAGGACCCTACCCAGGCCGTAGCTTGGGCACTCTGGTTGAACTTGCTGATCAGCTTAAGGTACAGCACACCGTCTGATCTCTCGAAACCCCCTGTGAAAAACAATAGATAATACTGAATTGTGACCGAGGTACTGAAGCTCACCATTAAGATGCAATTCAGAGATACTTTGAAAAACCCTGAAACTTGAAGACAAGTAAACCAAGCAGGCTCGGGTGGTCGGACTCGGTGTGTCAGGAACAGCCTCTGGGGTTACTGTGAGCTGTGTCAACATCTGGTACAGTTTATACGTTTATATAAACAATATATATTCATGACAACTAGCTTTTACGGTTCATTATTAGTGTGCCTGACTACATAGCTTTCATGAAAATAACTCATCTTTGTATCATATCTTATAACATAGAATTGGTACACCTTCACATCACGAGCTAAAACAAGTGATTATCAAATGATAACGAATCAAATGATAATGAATTTGTTGTATGTGTTACCATGGTTACCATGATTGTAGAAATGTGGTATATATTCAGTTTCATGCTTTCTGGATAAAATTTGAAATATATTTCATTAATCGTACTGGCCGTTCAAAATATGATGATTCTGTTAAAATAAAAAATTGTTGATACATGACATTATTATAAGAAAATACAACCCCAATTCATACCTGTTATAACATGTTGAAAGAAGCAAGAAAACACAACCACCCATTTATAAATGCCATAGTCCATCGTATCTCCCTGCATTTCCTCTTCATCAGAGTGAACATCCTTCTCAACCACACAGCTTCCTTTTTCTCCATTACAATTCTTCTGATGACAGAGTTGTCTCCTTTCACTGCCATCGCCAGTCATTTGTGCTTCCCCATGTGCTTCCTCATCCTCTTGTCGCTGCATCCCTTCATCACGTACCACGCCATCTGTTGTTTTCCTGTCACTGCAAGGATGCCAACGCCCTCCCTCTGATAAAGGATCACTTTTCATAGTCAAGAATCGTCCTGCAAGTGAAGCAATTGAATAAGTGTTTAAAGTGCAAGTTTTATGACAAATGGCAATAGATTTTTTATACATTATGTAGCAATCATAATGTAAAATACGACAGCCAAGGAAAACAGCGTGAAAATGTAAACTTAGCGCTGCGCTTACACAAAAGTATTACTTACTTAAATTGGGAATTTAACGGGCGCTTTCCGACATACGCATATTTCGTGCACGTAAGAGTATCATTATTTTATTTTTTTAAATTTTTTTTTAGGTTTCTATTCGTAACAACCCAAAAGAATCTCAAACACAATAACAAGGAGGTGTGGCTTAATTAACACGGACGGCTGGGCTTGCATGGTTATTGGTTGGAACCCCCACAAGCGGAGCACAGAATATATGCATTTTTTGTGGGGAGATCCAGAGCTCCAGATAAGCTTTTGGTGTTGTGGGTATTTTACCCATGCTTTTTAAAATCATTGGGTATCAGTAATTCTATCTGGGTATTCAAATTTCTGTTACCCACTAGTTTTTACACATGTGGGTATTTAAGTTAAATATTTAAAAACACTATTCATCTAGTCCCTGCAAACTGGTGTCGTGTGGGTTCGAGAGCTTTATAGGACTAAAAAATACCACCATACTTCCACAAGAAAGTGTGATGGCAAATGATCATGATGTAACTGTCATCGTGGAGTTTGGCAAAGTTGACGGAATGTCCGTTTATAATTTCAAAATAAGTTGCTGATTTGCTAATCGAATACGCAGGGTTACTTCACAATATTTTGATGATATGCACAAGTTTTATTTTTGTAGCGAATCTGTAATGTTTGTTGCATATTTGATACGCTTGGATTATATTTTACTGCATATTTCTGCATTTTTAATGCATATTTTACGCAGATACGCAGCTTATCTGGAGCTCTGTATGTAGCAATCATAATGTAAAATACGACAGCCAAGGAAAACAGTGTGAAAATGTAAACTTAGCGCTGCGCTTACATAAAAGTATTACTTACTTAAATTGGGAATTTAATGTGCGCTTTCCGAAATATGCATATTTCGTGCACGAAAGAGTAATATTCTTGTATTTATTTATTTTTATTTTTTTTTTTTTTAGGTATCTATTCGTAACAACCCAAAAGAATCTCAAACGCAATAACAAGGAGGTGTGGCTTAATTAACACGGACGGCTAGGCTTGCATGGTTATTGGTTGGAACCCCCACAAGCGGAGCACAGAATATATGCATTTTTTGTGGGGAGATCTTTGTATGTCAAGAGTATCCATGGCTTGTGTACTTTGACTAGTAGGGCATGTCCCCCTTCCCCCGATCTGTGCCGTTAAAAATATAAACATCAATTGATCTTTGAAGCCAATTAATGCTAATTTCAATCATTTTATTACCAATACCTCACAACAGCTGCAAGCTGTGGATTAATGCATAAATACACCAGCAGTCAGAAAAATGTAACATACAACCAGGTGATCCAAAGCTAATATGTGAATAAATATGCCTCACAGAACATTAATGATGTGAATTTGAACACAGTTATAAAATAAATGTCTCTAGTTATAAGCTTTCCTAGTCTGGTTCTGCAAGCTGCTTTCCACTAGGAGAAGCTTGTGCCCTTTTTTCTAAGGCCTTTAGGATATGCGCTTTTCTGCCCCCGTCCCTGTCAGAGGACACGTGAAGATCCGGGGTAGAGTAGGCCTTCAGCAACCCATGCTTGCCGTAAAAGGCGACTATGCTTGCCGTAAAAGGCGACTATGCTTGCCGTAAAAGGCGACTATGCTTGTCGTAAGAGGCGACTAACGGGATGGGGTGGTCAGGCTCACTGACTTGGTTGATACATGTCATCGATCCCAATTGCGTGGATCGATGCTCATGCTATCAATCACTGGATTGTCTGGTCCAGACTCGATTATTTACAGACCGACGTCATATAGCTGGAATATTGCTGAGTGCGGCGTTAAACAACAAACAAACAAACAAACAAACCCTGTCAGGGGCACAGGGAAACCGCAATTTTATCTTCTAAAATTATCTTCTATTTCATTGTTGGTTTTGGGGGCCAGTGGGTTCTTTCGGGTGGCTCCTGCAACATGATTGACAAGAAAGAAGCTAACAATATCGTGTTAATTACTTCACACAAACAGTTCCAAGCATACTAATGCTCGTTAATGCTACTAATGAGACGTTTTACACTGAAGGGCTAAAAATAAATGTAACATTGTTCAAGTTGTTTTCAAGACAGTTTCATGTCTTAGCAATTATCAAGAAACATATTGAGGCAAATTAAGATTGAAGCTGTACTTATTTATGATAACATCCTTTAGTGGCATATCTTTGAAGGCCCTCTTTCCGGATGTCCCTTTCCAATTTATTTGTTTTGTTTGTTTGTTTGTTATGGCCGACGACTGGACGAGTCTCACCGTGTCTGCAGCGGTCATACCCCCGATGTCACCAAGTTGTGAGACCTACCGTATTCAACGTAATGAGCGCCCACTGTGATATTTGCTAATATATTGGCAAGTGAACAATCCCAATTAGCACCCCTTCTGATCAATGTACACAAGACTTATTTATTCGTGTATTATACGCACTTGTGTGTTATACGCAACCTTAATTATGGGCAATTAAATTCTGGAAAATAGGCCTATATGTCGTGTATAATATGCGTAGACTTTTCTTTTGTATCATTTCAGGCTGTCAGCATAAACCACAAAATTTACAATCTTTCAACTTTTTTTTTTTCACCAAATTATATTATAATAAGAGCCCCCTATTTCTAATTTTGAGAGCGCCCTGAGCGATTATTACGTTGAATATGGTATATGTAAAACATGCCTGGTGTAGTTACAATTACATATTCGGATTTTGGAGACAGCTTTCATAGAATTTGTAGATAAAATACCATAACACGAACGAACGGTGACCAATATATTTTTTCATCCTATAAAAGATGGTATTTAATATCAACTTTGAGTGTTCAGGGCAGATTACTGATAAGAGCGGTTGGATAAAATGACAGGTGGCGGCTAACAGATCTTAATGTCATTCCGTCGGTGCAGACCTTTGCGTAACCAAGTGCAAACAATTGCAAAATGTCAACTGGAAAACAAGCGGCCTCTACACTTCAGCCTCAAGCATGGTCAATGTAGATCTACTGCACTTTCTGAGGCCTACCAAAATACTCCTCCACGTCTGGCCATAAATGCTTGATATTGACCAGCTGTTGAAAGTTGACATGGTTGTAATAAATGCATACATCACCTCTAGAAACTGCTGGCGTACGTTTTCATTGTCCGTTCCGCACGAGCGGACATTAATCAAGGGAAGTAACTCTCTCTCGCTCTGATTTAGCTCTTTTTATTTATAATATTGCAATTTTAATGCTTTAATTGTGACACGAAGTTGTACTAAATTCGAATGACAGTGAATCTGTAAACTTAGATTTCCGAACCATGTTGTTTGTCATGTAAAAGAAGAAATATATGTGGTTTTGTTGGTAATTTATGCCTATTTCAGACAGCTGTTAAACTTTAAATTTGTGTATTTGTTTTTTAGTTGTTTAACTCCACACTGAGCAATATTCCATCTTAAAGGCCTGGAAATAATGAATATGGATCAGACAATCCTTGATATTATTGCGAGAATCCAACCGTTATAGTGACATGACAACCGCACCGCCCGGAATATAAGCTTTTCTCACTTTCAACCGCACTGGGATCAATATATAAACAACAATTTCGCAATTTTAGGCTGCAGTAGAAGGGCCCACGAAGAAACTAGTTATGTAAAGGCTTAGAACTATAAGGAACAATGTCAATGCCTGCTTATGAACATTTCTTATTCACCGATAAATTCCTAAACTTTAACACATTCTGATAGCAGATATACACATGTTGCTGCGTTAACATTCAAAAAAGGAAATAAACTTTCGTTTTTAATTTTTTTTAGGGTAGAAAGGGTCAATGTCTGTATTTTGGCCCTTTTTTACCCTCAGGCATTTGAATGGGATTTAACACGTGAGATTGATAAACTACTACTGAAAGTACAAACACATACTATTGAAGCACTTTTAAACGATTTAAACTAATGCCAACTTTGTTGAAATAGTTGAAACATAATAATAATGTTTCCAAACTTTCAAAATCTCTTGAACAACCAGTCTCAACCACACAAGGAAATGAGCGATAAAAGAGCCAAAATCTAGCAAAGTGACTTTTGCAATTTTGGAACTTGAATTATAAGTAGCTATATTTCAAATACTTATCAGTGAAAAAATACAATAATTTTTCTGCAAGTAGACAAGAACTCATAGATGTTATTTGTGCAATAATATGCAAAAAGGGCCAAAGTGCTTTTTGGCCCCTTTGGGCTCAATTATTGTCAGCCCACACACATTGAACGTATTGGCAAATTATTGACCAAATATCAAACTGCCCATGTTTAACAATTGTCCAGATCAGTAGATCGATCGCATGATTGAATATAGATTTTTATAATCGATTGTTTGAAAGCCATGTGGGTACCCCTCCAACATGTGGAATTGGCAATACATTTCTATCTGACAATAATCATAGGAATAGCTTCATGGCAGAAATAATACCGATGCGACGTTAAATTTTAACTCACTCTGAGGTACCTCCGTATCCACTGACAGCGTCTGATGAACCGAGGATACTTCTGTTTGCCTAACGTCAACATCCTTGTCTGAATCTAACACTGGCTGGTGATGGAATGTATCACGTTTGTGCTGAATGAAAGGAAAATAGAGGTTATCACATGGGTGTGTTTGGGAATTCTAAAAATGCCGTATTGGGAATAAACATTGTATTTAGCGAGCCTTGACCTTATATATTTGCATCTCTATCCACATATGACCCCAACGGGTATCGTTTTTATTCGTTGGCTTTATCTTGTGGGGAAACCTACCCATTATGATAAACTACAGCATGGGAATTTCAAGGTATAACTGTGCAAAGGTATACGGGCCCACTTGCACAAAGCGATCACAAAGGTGACCGTTACTCCCATACTTTAACATAGGCTTACGATAGTCTTAGCGCTAAGATCTCTTTGTGCAAGTGGGCCCTCACAGTACTGCAGCAACATTATTGCAATAGTCAAACTGTAATTCGATACTGTATAGCATCGCAATAAGTGGTCCTAAACTGTAATGCTTATCTTGTAAAGAATCGATTATCTACAGACCGCCGCCGTATATAGCTGGAATATTGCTGAGGTCGGTGCATCAACCAAGTCAGCCAATCCCGTTAGTCGCCTTTCACGACATGCATAGTCGCCTTTTACAGCTAGAATGGGTTGCTGAAGACCTATTCCACCCCGGACCTTCACGGGCCCTTATTTCAGTAGGTACATCAAAAATCACGTTAATATCAACCACTGTATCACTGCCACGAATGGTACAATAAACTTCGAAGCGATGATAGACTTACGCTTCGTCTCTGAAAATATATAATTTTCGAAGAAACAGACAACTCCATTTAAATTGAAAAGGAGCCCAAGTGAGACGCTGAACCTATAGATAATCTAGACTTGCTTCATTTAGGGCTATAGCATTTCAACCAGGGCTGTATAAGGGACAATATGGTTTAGGGACTGTGAGACAGACTAGAGGCGATGGTATTAGATGTGTGAATGAAGTCAAGTGACGCTTGCTTTGCAAAGAGTTCTGAACTTAACACATGTGCACGCCAAACGACATGACGAATGTATCGAAATGCAGTAGAAAGCTATGTTGATATTACTGAATTTTACGCTCTCAATCGCTGTAAATCACTTTTATTTACCCACTTGCTTTGATTGATAAAATGTTTACAATTGAATGACAAATTATTGACTTGTGCTTTCCTTTTTATAGCCACTACCACGAGTTACGAATGCCATAACTTGCACGTGCATTTTGCTTTACTGTTTTCCTCCATGACATTTTTGAACAAGTGTGAAAGCAATGCCGTTTAAGACATTGCAAATCAATCGACACTGGCTGCGTTTTGACGCACCGTTTGTCGAATATTAGGCCACCAACATTTTTCAATAACATATATCCAATTTATATATACCGGATTTTTTGTGTAGTCAGGTTCAATGAACTACATACTACCTGGGCGGTTCTTGTTTTGAAGAGTGTATATATAAGTCAGCGATTCTGAATGCAGATCTATGCCCAACTCTCCTTCAAGTCAGATGAGAAAGATAAATCTTGTGATGTCACTTTCAAAACAAACGAAGCTGTGGTAGCGAATATAAGTCCAGTACATTTACCATGAGACCCGTGAAGATCCGGGTTACAATAGGTCTTCAGCAACCCATGCTTACCGTAAAAGGCGACTATGCTTGTCGTAAGAGGCGACTAACAGGATCGGGTGGTCAGGCTCCCTGACTTGGTTGATGCGTTGATCGATGCTCATGATGTCAATCACTGGATTGTCTGGTCCAGACTCGATTATTTCCAGACCGCCGTCATATAGTTGGGATATTGTTGAGTGCGGCGTTAAACAACAAACAAACACTACAATGATAGAATGGAGAATAAATACTCCAGATAAAGAAGGATGTGTTAAACCCTAAAGTGGACTAAATTTCTTTAATGCTTTTTATGTTGCAAATCTAAACTATAGTCGTGTTAAGTATCTTTGCCATATCGGACCAGATTTCTTTATTACTTACATATAGAGTACATTGTTCGTATTAATGCTATCTGCAAAGTGGCACAAACGCACAATGTCGGTGAACCAGTTGGCATATAGCTAGGTCTTCCGGCGTTCTATAAACTATCACCCGACCATCTAAATAATCCACTGATGTGGATGTTAGTAGGAGTACGCGTTGTAAAGGCCCAGAGGTAAAACGCCAGTTTATACTCAACTGGTGAGTTACCAGCCAATGGTGAAAGGACACACGCACAAAACATTAACATCGTCTCGTAAGGCGGAAAAAGCATTGTTCTGCTAGAAGACTGCTGTTCTGTTCTCGGCGGAGCTAACTCGGATAACAGCACCCAGGACTCAAGGAGATTGTGGATTTTGTAAACAGTAAGACATGACTGGCATAGAACGCAAGGCATCCTCGATGGCGGGCTTGTTCAGCTCGCTCCATAGGACCATCATGGGAATGAAATTTTGGTCTTTCATTGGCGTGGCGGCTGCAGTGATCTGGCTGCTGTATTGGTTCAACAGAACTGTTCTGAATCCATCCCACGTGAGTAGAACAAGGTTTGAAATAGGGCTGTAACGATTGGTTGGAATAACGATGTATTATTACGTGACTTAACCGATGAAAGTGTCACATACAAATCGTGCTTCAATATCGATATTTTGTATCGATATTTTCGGTCATTGTTGACGTCATCATCATTTGCATAATGGATAACAGACTACTGCACAACATGGAGTTATATTTTGGCTGGACTAACGTGTCTATGCTTCATCCAATCAAAAACGCGTAACGAAATCGACATCCGGTCGATAAGCAACATGGCGACTGCCGTGCAGATTTCGATCGCTTGCAGGATTAGCAGAGAATGTGTACCATCAACTGGGCGTCGATATTTTCCAAATCTTTTCATGTATGTAATCAAGTATCTCACGTGATTTGATGCACTTCACCAGATGATTGACATCATGAGCATCGATCTACGCAACTAGAATAGGATGACATGCATCAACCAAGTCAGCGAGCCTGACCACCCGATCCTGTTAGTCGCCCCTTACGACAAGCATAGTCGCCTTTTACGGCAAGCATGGGTTGCTGAATACCTATTTTACCCCGGATCTTCACGGGTCAATTGTTACAGTTACACGGTCTGCATGTGCTGCCTAAGAGTTCAGTTGTTTTTAAACCTCGAACTTTTTAAAATCTAATATGCGTTCGCACGTTCGCACCAGTTTGGATATTCCTACTTTATATAAACTATAAAGTATACTATATATATATTAATGTAATTGTTTAGTTTTATATAATACCCTTTGTTTATAGTACATTCAGTACAGCGATGGAGCAAGGCTAGATTCAACCTTACACCTCTCTTATCTTTGTTTTGTTACAATTTGAAATTCGCTGTATCTACTCTTAGCACCCTCCATAAACTCTGAGTGTGTCACGCCCTGGAATGAAGTTTGGTGCTTTGTAACCAAGGAGGTGAGGTGAGGTGAAATGGGGTTTAACGTCGCGTCCAAGATTATTGCACTTATATAGCGACGTGCATGCACGTGTGTGTGTGTGTGTGTGTGTGTGGCTGCTTGTACTAGTCCGGACTGATACCGATTTATAGTGCTAGCTCACTGAGATACCATGCCGCAGTTTAACAGGAATACCCCACCCAGACACAGTATACTGACTCCGAGCCGACCAGTCCTTGTTTTAGCCCCTTAATGCCGAGCGCCAGACAGGGTAACAACAAGTACCATCTTTTAACGTCTTTTGGTATGACGCGGGCGGGGATTGAACCCCGGACCTTCCGCTCTCCGGGCGGACGCTCTACCACTAGACCACGGAGGCCGTCTGTAACCAAGGATAAAAGTCGAGGGGGCGTCAGAAACATATTCTACTGAGAGAAATTTAGGGAACGCCCGATTTGTTCATTGTACTACAGTTAATATGTCCTCCCACTTCTTTTGAGCAGTATATTTCAAGATATAAACAGGATCAATTCTAATTTATAGTCCGAAATCGTGTTGAGTGTTTCGTTAGTGACGATGCCTTATTTCCAGATTTAGAGCAGCGTATATGCACGTCTCCGTGTAGCACACAAATAAGTTGAGAAGGGTAACCTTCCGCCGAGTCTCATTTAGTCCATCCCAGCTGATCGATGCCCCGCAGTCAAATCACTGATAAACTCTTCAAAATTGTACGTGAAGCGGCCCGTGAAATAGATATGAACCGACGCGTCGACATAAACAATGGATATAAACACCTGCCCAGAAAACAATCTTATTACAACGAGTTGCTGTACATTTTTTTCTGTTTCCCTTCGCCAGCTCTGAATTGTCTTCCCGATTGAATAAAAATATACTCCTTGCATTGCGAACTATTATCAAGTGTTCTAAACTATCAATTTCATTAAAATAGATTACATAATTAGCGCAAAACAATTTTTATACTTTTTTATTTATTTGTATTTTTTCATCCGCCGGTTCTCTTGTTGGTAGAGGTCGGAGATGCGAAACACACAAACAAATACACTCTTCAAAAAAAGAAACGCACAGTTAGTATGTAGTTCATTGAACCTGACTGCGCAAAAAATCCGGTGTATAAATTGGAGATATTTTGTGGCCTGATATTCGGCAAACGGTGCGTCAAAACGCAGCCATTGTCGATTTACAATGTCTTAAGCGGCATTGTTTTCACACTTGTTCCAAAATGTCATGGAGGAAAACAGTAAAGCAAAATGCACGTGCAAGTTATGGCATTCGTAACTCGTGGTAATGGCTATAAAAATGCAAGCATAAGCCAATAATTTATCATTCAATTGTCAACATTTTTCAAGTTCGAAAATGCCGAGACTCAGCGCTGCCGATAGGAACATCGCCACAGGACGTATCCAAAGAGGGGAATCGCAGTCTTCTGTTGCACGCCACATCAACATCCACCACGGCACCATTTGCCACCTTTGTGACCGATACACACAGTTCGATTCCACTGCATTTTATTTACACTTAACATGGAATCAATATCACCTGATACGCCTGTCCACGTGGTATTGTACAGGGTTGTAAATACGTGGCATTATTATGATTGGCTACTGACTGTGTAGGCGTGTCAAGTTATGTGCATAAATTAAACGATTACCTGATTCATGTCACGCCACAGTATGTATTCCTACACCTGGAATGTGATCTCGTCATTTTTGTCATTATTTATATATACAACTTGTTTTTGGTTAAACTATTGCAGATAAAACATATTTTACGTTGTCGAATTTAATTATACTCGGATTCATACAGTTTGCACATCGGTTTTTCGATTAATCTCTCAATGAACCGAAAAGAATACACAGCCAATCCTTAAATAAAAATAAAATATATACAAAACACAACACAATATGCTCACACCACTTTTTGCTCTGTCTATCCATGTACATACCTGTCACTGGGAAGTAAAACAAGTCTAGTCACGGTCTAGTGACCGCACCGCTTCCCTGTTCCTTCATTGTCCGGCTCCCGTCACCATTCGGCAAAGTCCGGCCTTCGTCGTTGTCAAGTGTCTTTACATTAAATGTTACTGGGTGCGGTCGGGTAGCCTAGTGGTTAAAGCGGTCCCTCGTCACGCCGAAGACCCGAGTTCGATTCCGAACATGGGTACAAAGTGTGAGGCCCATTTCGTGTGTCCCCCGCCGTGATATTGCTGGAATATTGCTTAAAACGGCGTAAAAGCATACTCACTCACTCATTGTTACAGACCCGTAAACCTTATTCTCTAACGGCTTAAGCACATCCTTTTATCATGTATTGATTTTATATATGTTATCTTATGTATGCTTGCCACCTTATTTATGTATGACAAATGTATTTGTTTTAATTTTCATGCAGTAGCGCCATTATCTAGTACTGGTAGATATTTCTTATGTATGTGTGGTTATTCTTGCCACCTCAATAATAGTACATATCTGGTTGTACGTCTTTAAAGTAGCGATGGATTGCTTATATTGAGCGCTTTAGTTTGGTACCCGATTCTGCCGTATTGGTTTAGTAGCAAGTTTGCTATTCGTAGTTTCCCTATGTTAGAAAACACACTATTCAACTCACCAAGATATAACGAGTGACCAAGAGAGGTTGCTTTCTGAAAGGTCCTCATCATGTTTCGCATAAAACCCTTGGCAAAATCTTTATCCTCCGTGACTTTAATGTCCACAGTCCTCTCTGGGAAGACAGGTATGATTCATGCAAATACGGCAAAATGGTAGAGAAATGAATTGAGGACGACAATCTCATAACTCTAAACAACAGTAGTTACACATGTTATGACCAAGTCCACAGCATGTGGAGTTCAATTGACCTCACAATTGCCACCAACAACCTTGCCTCACGTTGCCAATAGCAAGTTCATGATGACACTAGGGCATGCGATCACCTTCCTATATTCACCTTCATAGATAGCCCACCACAATTAGAAGAACTATGCGAAGGCCCATGTTGGACTATGCAAAGGCTGATTAACCTAAATTCTGGAAGGAATGTATATCATCAAATCCTCAGTAATTGCCTCGGATAATCTTGATCTTTTTTGCCAAAATCTCACCTCCGCTATTATAACCGCTGCTGAAAAATTAATTCCGAAAAAAGACAACAAAACTGACAGAACTCTGGTACCATGGTGGAACAGGGAAATAGCAAAATCCAGGAGAGTGAGAAAGAAAGCCCTAGATAGGTAAAAAAGGGATAAATCAGCCTTTGCCCAAGTCCGAGCAGCCAGGACAAAAGTAAGACAGCTCATAGACGATTCTAAAAACGATTTATGGCAGACCTTCTGCAAATCTCTAAATGAAAGAACAAATGCTAAAACAGTCTGAAGCAAAGTACACGCAATCAGGGGTAAGCGTAAACCTTCAAAAATACCCAAGTTAACCAACGCCCATATAGTCAAAGAAAAGGCCAACATTCTCGCCGTGAACTTCTCATCTGTCAGCAGCAACACAAATTGCAGCAAAGAATTCAAACAGGAAAAAAAGCTTATGCTTAAGATATCAAAACAGCCGCAAAGCAAGCATCTTTTATACACTATGCCATTTACTGTGACAGAGTTTGATGCGATACAACATAGAAAAGGCACAGCACCTGGTCTTGACACAACCAGCTACGAGATATTACAAAAAACCTATCTGATCAAACCAAAAGCTTACTCACTGAGTTGTATAACACGATATGGTCGAAAGAAGAAGTCCGAAAAAAGCATGGAAAATGCTGCAGTTATCTAGCTTCTAAAGCAAGGGAAAGACGAAGTCTTACCAAACTCTTATCGACCGATCTCACTCACCTGAAACATGTGCAAAGCTATGGAAGCCATGGAACTGGCAACCACATCCAACCTGACCAAAGCAGCTTCAGGAAGGGACACTCATGTCTGGATCATATTTTAAGACTGGAACATGAGATAAAGAAAGCTCAATTAAACAGACAATACCTAGCCACCGTAGTTCTGGACTTCAGCAAAGCCTTCGAGATGGTATGGCATGACGGACTCCTCACAAAACTAGCACAAAA